TTGCTTCCTTACTGTATATCAGAACTTCCAGTAAGGAGAAACAGTGAGGAGCATATAATATAATCCAGCACATTACCTAGTGAAAAAAGCACACACAGTAAACATTACACATAGTTAGGCACACAGTTAACCCCTTGATCATCCTAGATGTTTAACCCCTTCCCAGCCAGTGTCATTAGTACAGTGTGAGTGCATATTTTTAGTATTGATCACTGTAATAATGTCACTGGTTCCCACAAAGTGCCAGTTAGTGTCAGTTAGTGTCCGATTGTCCGTCGCAGAATCGCAGCCCCACTATAAGTTGCTGATTGCTGCCTTTACCAATATTGAAAAAGATAAAATAAAAATTCCAGTAAATAACAAATAGTGTTTAGACGCTATAACCTAGGTGCAAACCAATCAATATACACTTACTGGGATTTTATTTACCAAAAATATGTAGAATACATATTGGCCTACATTCATGAAGCCATTCATTTTTTAAATTTTTTATTGGATATGTTTATATAGCAGAAAGTAAAAAATTGTTGTTTTTCCTTGAAAATGTTCAGTTTTTTTTGTTTATAGTGCAAAAAACAAAAAACCCAGAGGTGAACAAATACCACCAAAAGAAAGCTCTATTTGTGTGAATAAACTTCCTTTATGTACAACGATGCATGACCGCGCAATTGTCAATTAAAATAATGCAGTGCCGTATCGCAAAAAACAGCTTGGTCACGAACAGGGGTAAATCTTCTGAGAGGTCAGGTGGTTAATAGTTAATAAAATAGAAACAAACAAAAAATCATCAGGGAAATAATAATTACAGAGTAAGGCTTGGTTCACACTACTGCGAACTGAATGTCACGTAACTTACGGTGAGACTTTGCCAGGGGAATTCCTGGAAATTTGCTGATGACTTGATTATGACTTTGATGCGGCTTGATGTTCGACTTTCATGCCATGTGACTTTGCCTGAGTAATCTTCCTGTAATGTCGGATCCAAATCACATCAATATAGATGAGGACCCAACTTGGAGGCGACTTCCATTAAAGTCTATGGGCACAAGTTGGATAGAAGTTGCCTTGAAGTAGTACAAGAACCTAAAGTCTACTACAGTAATGCTAATTAAGACAGCTCTCATTAACTAACATGGGATTTAATGTCATAAAATAGTGCCACACGTATATCTCTATAACCTCATATACAGAGGCGGACTGACCATTCAAGCACTCGGGCACTGCCCGAGGGCCCGGGGTCACAAGTGGGCCCCATAAAATGCTTCTGGTACCTTTTATAGGCTTTTTGGGTGTGTTTTTTGAGTGTGGGCAAGGACACAGGGGCACCATGATCCCCAATTGCCCAGGGGCCCCATGAGTTGTCAGTGCGCCCCTGCTCATATATATGAATTAAAGCATCCAGACCATGTGATTATGCAACAACGGTGAATACATACAACTTAAAAGTCCATAATGTGTGCTTGATCCGTGCGTTTATAATTTGTCCACAAACAGGTGCTCTTTATTGCTTATATCCACATATATTCCTATGGGTGCTCCTTCACCAGAGACATACATATATACTCTCACCTCCTTTTATGACCCAAATTGCATATGTCAAATACCGCCTTTCCCTTTTAACCCGGGTAGGTATACTGCATAGACTGTCACAGCCGGGTGCCCACACTGAAGATGCTGGTGCCAGGGAGAGAAGACATCCGGTGAAACCAGTGGTGGTGAGGACACCGCTGGACCGAGGGACAGGTAAGTGACTGTATTTTAGAAGTCAGCAGTTACAGTTTTTGTAGCTGCTGACTTTTATTTTTAAACCGCTTTAACCACCAGAGCCCCAGAAGATTTTACCCCCATCATGACCAGGCCATTTTTTGCTATTCAGCACTGCGTTACTTTACTGGCAATTGTGCAACCATGCACACAAAAAGAGCTTTCTTTTGGTGGTATTTGATCACCACTGGGTTTTTTTATTTTTTGCGCTATAAATGAAAAAAGATCCAAAATTTAAAAAAAAAAACCCAATATTTTTTACTTTCTGCTATAAAACTTTTCCAATTAAAAAAATAAACAAATGTAATTTCTTCATAGATTTTAGCCAAAATGTATTCTGCTGCATTTTTTTGATTTAAAAAAATCCCCATAAGTGTATATTGATTGGTTTACAAACTATAATATATGCTGAACCAGCCAAGATTCGATCTATCTATGTCTGTCTGAAGACACCATCTCCCAAGCAGGGAGGGCTGAGTAAGGACCAATTATAGAACAAGGCTTAGCTGTTTTGTCAAAACCCTGATCCAACCCACTGTGACAATTCCTCAGGGGTTGGCCAGCTGATAAGACACCCTACACCACACCCCAACATAGGACTTTAGAGCCTCTTTTCCAGAGACTACCTCTGAATGAAAATACTAAGCCCAGAATGAATTTACTGAATGAACAAAAATAGGACTTTAGAGTAGAGTGCCCAGAATGAATTTACTAAAAGACAAATAGGCTCCTCACTTTGCAGGGGAAATTACAAATTTCCCCCAGAGCTTAGTGAAGTGAAGCTTTTCTGACTTCAATCATCCAATCGTGCAAGAAAAAATGCTATTTTTTATTTACCTTGCGTGTGATTGGGTATTCTTTGCAAAGTGAACTTTCACCACATTCACTAAGCTCTAGGAAAAATACGCTTGCAAAGAGCAACTTCTCTACAAAGTGAACAGCCTAATTGCCATTGGTATACAAAACCTCCATGTTCCTTGCAGGTAGCAGGAGCTGGGAAACCACACATATCTACATGTGTATCTTACCTAGTGTACACCTAAACAAGGCCATACATGTTTCAATTTGATTCTATGCTCTTGGTGCAATTACCTTAGATTTACCAACTACCCTGTTTCCCCGAAAATAAGACAGTGTCTTATATTAATTTTTGCTCCCAAAGATGCGCTAGGTCTTATTTTCAGGGGATGTCGTATTTTTCCATGAAGAAGAATACGGTACACATTTATTGTTAAATGAAAATAAAGGAAATTACCATTTTAGTAACCCCTTTTGATCCTCCTGTGTCATTTTGATTGCCCCCTCTGATCCTCCTCTGTCATCATTTTAAGTGATCCCCCTCCCCCCACCCCTGTGCCACTGAACACCTTCACCAGACATCCCCCCCACCCCTTTATCAGACATTTCCCCCCTGGGGCCTGCCTGGGGACTGTCACTGGGCTGGCTGGGGCCTGGACCTGGGCTGGAGCAGGGTCTGCCACTGACTGAGAACCTTCAGTCATCATGAGGGCGGCCGCAAGCATCAGGCAGTGTCACCAGAGACAAACCAGCACTCACCACCTTCGCCGCGTCCCATTCGCTCTGATCCTCCTGTTCTTCTACTCACATCTGTGAAAGTCCTCCTCCTCTCTCCCGCCCCGCGTTCACCGCTCACACTAGGTCCGAACTCCGCTCCGCCTCCACACAGCAGTGACGTCAGGACTCCGCGTAACGTCACTGGTTGCTAGACGCCAATCGGGGTGGCCCTAGCAACCAGTTTACAGTAAATTAATTTTCATTCCGAGACAGAGCCTAGGGGGGCCTTATTTTCAGGGGGATGCCTTATATTTCACCCAGAGGGAAACCTGTGAGTAGGTCTTATTTTCGGAGGATGTTTTATTTTCGGGGAAACACAGTATTTAGTATGAAATCCTACCCAAACAATGAATTCAATTATTATTCAATATATGGTAAGGTAGGCCCTGTCACTGCATGGTGTCTGATAAATCTAAAGGAGAGTGTGTATGTAGCCAGCGTATAGATTCCTGCACACTGTTATATGATGCAGGCACAGACTGCGAGAAGACGTTTTTCAACCTGATCATATTTTATGCTTCTAAACACATTGGTAGGCTCAGGATGAATACATGTGCAACCTTTTGTCTGCCAAAATACACTGTAGAATTAATCCATTCTGACCTTCATGCATCGTAGAAGCCATCCTGCATATGCTAACATAAATCACAATGTGATCAATAAATGTGACTGCATCTTACTAACACACTTCTATCTCCATGTGTATGACAACTGCATAAAATACAGAAAGTATGTGAACCCTGCAACCACTGACACACCTGATGTATTAAATTGATGTAGATGGGGTGTTTGTCTAGAAATGGAGAGTGAAAGAAACACTGGCTGCAGCTGGTCTTTGTAGCTGTTGACCTGCAGTGATAAACTGCTATATCAGCCAGAGGAGGGAGCTGCTGAGCACGAAGAGTTCAATAGACTGAGACTCAAGCAGCACTGCACTGTGGGAACTGTAGTTCAGAGGAGAGAGACTCTACTGTAATCAACAGCTTTTGAACTGAATTTCCTTAGAAGGAGATTGCCAGATGGAGGGAAAAGAGCTGCATTTTTCAGGCTGTACAGGACACAGCTTGCTCTTTGCCATGAGGAGACCTGAAGAGTGCACATCACTGTCCAGTGTGCACCACCGCTGCTGCATTATGGCAGCCTGAGCAGGATCCAGAGTGCGGAGTCCAGGTGTGCTGACAGCCAGAGTCACCTCGGTGCAGAGCAGAGTGGACTGTGTGTGACCAGATGGTGAGCTGCAATAATGCTGGGACTGGTGAGCTGCTGCTGTGGTATTTACTGTGCTGCTAGAGAAACTGGACCCTTTAGGAACCATACCGCCATCTAGTAGCCTTATTGCTTCCTGCAGTCCTGACTGGGACTAGTCTCGCCTACCAACGGTACAACAGGGCTCCAACACTAGCCGACTGAAGAGTTAGGACTAAAGCCTGTCCCTTTACAGGCGCTACACAGAGACCTTCACCTATTGCTTGTGCAATATGAAGTCTAGTGGTACAGAACTCTATTCTAAGTTACTTTGGCATAGTGATTATACTGTCCAGTAGACTGAACTTACTTTCTGTGTACTATTTATGCTCATGCCACCATTTATTCTAACCCTTACCAATACAATGGGGTTTATTTACTAAATCCAGTTCACTCAGAATCTGGTGCACCTATGCATGGTAGCCAATCAGCTTCTAACCTCAGCTTGTCCATTTAAGCTTTAGCAGTAAAACCTGGAAGCTGATTGGTTTCTATGCAGAAGTGCATGTGTTTCTGAGTGAACCAGCTTTAGTAAATAAATCCCATTGAGTTCACTAACCACTAAACGGTCTTGTATCCATTTCTTGGTATTAAGTCACAGCCAGGTTAAAGGTAATTATGCTTGTGTTCTTATAAGTGCTTGCAGTGACTTTCATCAACCTCTTCACGCCGGCCCGCGCACAAATGTGCGGCCTCCCGGTGTTTGGGCTTAGACGCCGAGCGGCCACACATTTGTGAGCAATTAAGAAAAAACATATGTGCTGAGAGCACGCGTATCCGGTACTCACGGAAAGGTCCCAATCTCCTCTTTCGATCGGGACCTTTCCCGATCATGTGACCGCCGTGACAGTGAATCACGGCAGTCACATGACCCTAAAACCCCACCCCGCCTCTTGGCTTCTGAAACCCTTAAAGGGCCAGGAGGTGCCAGCGCCAAGGGGTTAAAGTAGGTGTGCCAGAAGGGTTGAGGTTGTTCTAGGAGTTAGGGCGCAGAACAGAGAACCCAAATTACCCAGCGGTCCTGCAGCGGTGGGCACTACATGGAAAATCTGACTCTGTTCATGTTTACAATTTTGTTCTTTCTAGAGCAGCTTTCCTCATCCTTTTTTTCCCTGGAAGAACCCCTAAAATAATTTTCAGATCTCAATGAACCCCTGCTAAAGAAATCCTCTAGGAACATTGGGAAAATGCACCTTACATTGTTGGTCAGTTGGAAGAATGCCCTCTTACTGTGGTGGTCTGAATCAGGGATGAGCTTGGGTTTGGTGTAAACTGGGTATGGCTTAAACCTGGTAGTTAGCTGTATTACTGGGACAAGATACAAAGTGGTGGGGATGCTCATTGACCAAATATGGTCACATGGGCATATTAGGACAATGACATTGCTTGCCTGAAGCTCATTGGGCCTGTGGGGTTCCTCCAGAGGTTGCTCATTGGGCCTAAGTGGATGTGATCATGTGACAGCTTTCTGTAGGTTCTAGCAAACTGGATTCAAACTGAGTTCTGATCCATATCCAGCTAATGCCCAGTTAGATTTCTATCTAGCCTTACAGATAAAAGGATCATTGGCATCATGTTGTTGGCTCTGTCAAGTGGCATTGGCCCTGGCACTAGGTAGGCACTATCAGGAGGGAGATCAGTCAGCTATACCCTAGCAACTCTGGAGGAACCTAAGATCAATGAGCACAGTTATTTAAAAAGCTTGTTAACAAAGATAGGAGAATGGAAAAAGATGTTTGTTTTATTTTGGGATATCCAGCATTGCCAGAATCTCACCAAAGGGTCACTCTCTCCAAAGTTGGGAATACGATAAACATGTCAGTGGTAACCCCCAGCTACACTCGGGCTAACCATGTGGCGCTGCTCCGGGATCTCTTCTTCACTTACCTTGTCCTGCGCTCCCGCGATGTCCCTCCTGCAGTGTCCCCGGCAATGTCCTCTGGCCGATGCCGGCATCTGTCTTCCAGGTTCCGTCCCCTGCGAGTGTCGGGATGTACGGGGACATAACGGCGGGAAGTTTGAAAATGACAAAAAGTGACATTCACTAAATACACTAAAATCACATAGTATAACATTACTGTATCAAACCATTTCACATACATTTTGTCCCGAGTGCTTTGTCCTGTGCCCTGCCTGCATTTTTACTGTTCTTTCTGCCTGGAAACTGAGAAAAGTCCATGGCGTCCAAAAAGCATTCCTTTATGTCAAAAGCGGTTTTAGACCAGCTAGAGAACAGCGATAGTAAATTAGAACCACTTGCAGAATTGAGTGATAATGATTTGTGGGGGAAATTCGTCATCAGACACTGAAAACGATTTTGCGACTTTGCTCACCGATGTGCAAACTTATATTTCAAATTTCAGTGTTTTTGATTTGATTATATTATTGAATTAAATTTATTATTATTATATTATTATTTTTTATGATTATCTATTAAATTATAATTTATGCGTTTGTGTTTCAAATTGTAACATACTAGGGATGTTTGCTGGACTCTTGTTCGGACAGATTTCAGTGAGTTATTCCTAAAAATTACAGGCCTACAATAAAAAAACACATATTTCCATGCAAAAAAATGTACCGCTTTGAGCACAGAAATATGGACATAATCAGACCGCTAGGGAGGTTAAATTGTTACTAAACCCAGGACCCTGCATTCACTATATCTGGTCTCCCTCAGTAAACAGAACATGGAAATTCAATTATTTTAGTAAATATAAACTGATAAATACCTTTTCTCATCAGCAGTTAAAGCAGTCTTGTGACTTCTATCAGTGTCTGGCTGAGCATTGGTTAATCTTGTAGGAGTTTTCTTTCTGCTCTAGGAGGATGCAAATTCCCTGACCTCTGTCTGGACAGTGCTGATTGGCCCTGTGCTGATCACATGCACTCTCCCAAGAAAAAAAAAAAACCCTCTCTAGCAATACATACCAAAGTGAGCATGTGCAAATTCCCTACGTTTCAGTCTGTCTTATCAGGAGATAAGAGGTGGTTACTTAAACAAGGGGAGGAACAGAGCAATCAGAATCAAATGACCTTTTTACACAATGCAGAGGATTAACCCTTTAGTTCCACAGAGAGTATAACAAGCATGCTTTACTGCATGTACAGACTGATTTTACTGTTGTGGGTTTAGTAACACTTTAAAGGAAAAACGCTTTACCTGATTTTCAAATTTTTTAAAAAAATTAAAGGATATGTTCACCTAAAAAATAAACAAAAATAAATAAATGCCCGCTTTTTTGCAGGTAAAAAATTAGCATTTACTATTTTTTGGGGGGGATCCTGTAAAGCATCGCATGCAGGTCTCCTGCAGACTGTCAGTGTAATCTGTGTGCTCGTACTTCAGGCAGTTTCACACTGACAGGAAGACTCAATGAACTACCACAGAGCTCAACAGCATCATGTTAGTTCATTGAGAACTACAAGCCGACAGCCACAAAGGATGTCGGGACTTGTAGTTCATTCATTCATAAAATGAATGACATGGCCGTTTGGGTCAAAAAGGGTCAGCTGGTACAGGGAATTTTTTCCCCATACTGCTGCCACAGGGAAAGAGGGCAACAGGCGGAGGCTGCAGCCATAGGAGCATGTGACATGTTCCAACCTAAATACGGGTAGAACATGTAGCACGTTCCCAAAGGTGAACTCATCCTTTGAAATTCTTAATTTCCCTCAACCCTAGCAGCACAAACCTAACCACTATTCTGTGCTGTAGGTTTATATTACATTATGTAGAATGCACACAACCCAGATGTTATGCAGAGTACATGTGTTTTCAAACAATACAATAATGGCAAAGGGTCCTGACTCAGCAATAGTGGAAAGGTTGCATTTGGCAATCTTCATGTGGCATCCATGGTGAAATGAACAATGTGACATCACTATCTTGTGAACTAGGTGAATCTATGCACATCATAGTGTATATTGTTATGGCCTAAAAATAAACATTAAGGTCACAGTGGAACAATTTCATACATAGATAGCTGTGAATGTGCCTGGGCAGGTTTGGGTGACTTATGCTGAGTACACTCTTATGTACAGTTCACTGATGATATCAAGGGAGTCGAGGTGATGACATAGATCTATGTGGTTTCTCTGTGCCTCCTCCTGCTATGGAAAGTATCACTGTATCTACTACTTCTATGTGGCAAAATTAGCTTTATTGTTGAGAAATGTAAGGTTCTGCACTTGGGGGGCTAAGAATATGCATGCATCATACATACTGGGGGGGGGGTACAATCTGGGGGAATCAATGGTGGAGAAGGATCTGGGGGTTCAGGGTAGATCACAAGCTTAATAATGGCATGCAATGCCAAGCTGCAGTTTCAAAAGCGAGCAAAATCCTCTCTTGTATTAAAAGAGGTATAGACTCCAGAGAGAGAGATATCATATTACCCCCAGTACAAATCATTAGTAAGACCTCATCTGGAATATGAAGTTCAGTTTTGGGCACCAAATTCACAAAAAGAACATTGGGGAACTGGAGAAAGTACAGAGAGGGGCAACCAAACTGATAAGAGGCATGGAGGAGCTCAGCTATGAGGAAAGATTAGAGGAACTGAATGTATTCTCTCTTGAGAAGAGGAAATTAAAGGATAAGTTCCACTCATGCTCTCAAAAAATAAAAGTCAGCAGCTACAAAAACTGTAGCTGCTGACTTTTAAAAAAACAGCCACTTACCTGCCCCTTGGTCCCGCGGTGTGTCCCTTGCAGCCCATTTTACCAGCCGTCCTGTATTCCAGGATGCCAGGCATCTTCAGTGTGGACACCCGGCTGTGATAGCTTGCGGCTTCACAGATGGTGTCCCCCACTGCGGATTTGCTTCATGAATGGTCCTGTAGTCTTCTGGGACCCGTCACGTGTCCCAAAAGACTACAGGGAAGGGAGGGAGGGAGGACACCTTCCGCTTTTCCGATTGCCTAGGCGATCAGACCGGAAGTGGGAGCAGGTACCTGTGAAATTCGGGTACCCGCCCCCCAAAGGTGCCAATCCTTAATGGAAGTGGGGGAGCAGTCCTTAAAGAGGAACTTCCCTTTTGGGTAGAGCGCCGCTTTAAGGGGGATATGATCAACATGTTTAAAATACATCAGTGGTTCATATAGTGAACTCGGTGTAGAGTTATTCACCCTGAGGTCATCACAGAGGACAAGGGGGGCACTCTTTATGTCTGGAGGAAAAGGAATTTAATCTCCAAACACGGAAAGGTTTCTTCACAATGTAAGATCTGTGAAAATGTGAATAGACTCCCTCAAGAGTTGGTTCTGGCCAGCTCAGTGATTGCTTTAAAAAAGGCCTGGATTCTTTCTTGGATATACAGAATATAACTGGTTACTATTTATAGGTAAAGTTGATCCAGGGAATATTCGATTGCCTCTCAGGGGATCAGGAGCAAATTGGATTATGCTTTGCTGGCTTTTTTGCCTTCCTCTGGATCAACTGTGGGTATAGGATTATAAGTTTTTTTTTTATGGTTGAACTGGATGGACTATTTTCAGCCAGACTAACTATGTAACTAAACTGTATTTGGGCATTTAGAGTAACAAAACTCTAGAAGTTGACCCCCCCAAAAACATGGCAGCAAGGCCAAAGGACTAGTCACTGGTTTTGCCTGTGATCTCCTTACAGCTGAACATTACATACCTATCTTGCAATCTGAGGTCATATTGGTAGAGGCATGGCTTTGATTCCTCATGTCGGAACCTCCAGCAAGGTGAAGAGGAAGCAACTCAGTAGTGACATCACTAAATCTCACACACAGTTTTCTTGGTAGTAGTGCCTTAGGCCTCATGCATACTGCTGCTCCTAAATGTGAGTTTAGGAGCTTTTGGCATTTTTTTGCCAAAGCCCCTGAACTCAGCTCACTAAAACCCTATGTGCCCATGTACACGTAGGCTTTTACCAGAGTTTAGGAGCAACAGAGTTTAGGGGCAGTTAAACATTCCTCTCCTGAAGGTAGAAGAATCACGTTCAGGAGAGGAACGTTATGGCCACAAAACACGTGAAAACGTATGTAAACATTTCTAAACACTAGCCACATTTAGCGTTTGGGTGTTTATTCATGTCAATGGAAAATTCTCTGGACAATCAAATGAATAAGCGCTAAACGCGGTGTCACGGATCCACGGTCGCCGCCACCAACAGGCGACAATCGCACGACTGCGACTAACAGTAATACGTCACGCCCACAGGCGTCAGACCCAAGACCTTCGAACCAAACTCGTGACCGAAGGACCGGCCGATCTAAAACCGCAATGTGATGCGCGTAACCAGGCCCCGCCCAGCTGCACCCTGCACAGCGATTGTCCAGCTAATGGGCTACAATCGGTGCCTGCAGCCTGAATGCGCTTGTTACTGGGTCGGGTTAATTATGCAACTAAACCTCTGTCTGCCACCACCGTCTCTTGTAATACCGAGAAGACGGAAACTCTTATCAAAATACACTATAGTGGTTGAAATATGGATCTATATAGCACGGCCCACGGACCTGCTATACAGAGATATAACAAACAGTAGCGTCTCTTCAAAAGGCAGGAATTCGTGAATTGCAGGTAAGCGCTTAAAAACAGTTTAACACTTTCAGAAAGAAAGATTTATTACTAAAAGAGTCAAACAGGTGCAACAAAATATTTACAAAGAGATGTCACAAAAATATATATATATATATGTATACAAAGACACAGCAAACAGAGAATAGCAAGGAAATTACAGGGTTAAGTTACTTGCCTTGCCTTGGTTTTTCAGACTCAAGCGGCAGAGCAGGGGGTGATTCGTGGTCTCCTTTTGTTACGATGTTCAGCTGAGGAGACCCTGTTAAAACTCTGACTCTCTCTAGGCTTGTCTGCCTGTCTCTCTTAAAAGTCCCTCTCAAAGGGGGGCTCTGACTAGACGTTTTGGGAGTGGTCATTGGGAAGCTCAGTTAAAACTAAGGCTTCATAATCCATGACATGAAAAACATACAGTTGACCTGAGGAATGTGCAATTACTCTGGTCAGTTTGATAATGTGTGGGCTTACAATAGTTTTGGGTGACAAAAGTTACACTTCAGCAGACGGCC